GTTAATACTTGATCCAAATTCTTCAATGAAGCTGCTTCTATGGGAAAATTATTTTTGTTTTTGTCTATGCGTTATTTCAATGCAATCCAAGTGAGTGTTGTGTGCAGCCAACAACTTAATAGATAATACATCTCTCTATCATTGTTGAGCCAGTAAATATATAAATAAATCAGTAAAAAGAAAATCCTTCTGGTTATGCATATATTGTTTGATCATGAAGAATAACTTGTTAGTCTAATAACCAAAACATAAGAGAGAATTAGAGACTATATTTCTCATAAGTGAAAAACAAAAAGTTCATAAATGGATTATGCAAATTCCCCCCTACCAAAAGGAAGAGGAAGAGGTGTAGTACAATATTATCGAGACAAGAGACAAGTAGTTGGCTCTATGTGTGAAGTTATATCTCATAAACAGTGTAAAAAATTCCCAAAGGGATTTTCCCTACACATAATGGCCAAAAACCCTCTCCTTCACTTAAAACGTTATGTCACATGAAAGCCTTTAGAAATAACAGTCCCTTCGATTGACAAATTTCAAGTTAACATTCACTATGCTAATTCTATTTTCCTTATTTAAGGTAGTTGAATATATACATATATGCATACCAAACAATATTCCACTTAAAGAAACATAATAAGCAACAGTAATCATATTGAATAAGAAGTCTGTTAAGGATCAATATTCATGCCCACCCACACTTCTCCATCAAAGAAAAAATAAAACTTGTACCAAAAGCACTCTAAATTTTTATTTTTTTGTGATAACTTAAAGCCTGATGTTTCTAGTTAAATAGGCTTTTGAAAAAGCCGAGACCTAATGTATTAGTATGCAAGAAAAATATTCCCTTTATTTGGAAGTTCACTTTTTTCCTCCCTTTAAATATTCGTAGTCTTGTAACATCTTGTGAGAAGTATAATCAGACTTTTTTTTTTTGGAAATATTCATAATCAGACTTCTTAATCTATCAATAATATCAAAAATCTTATAAGGAGTTACTGGCATCCTATCATACGAAAATTATGCATTTATTTGTTTATCTCTTAATAGATGTCGAATAAGCGAAGTCCTATTAAAATTTGTAAAATCTATTAAATGAAAAATAAACACAAATTTTTGTGTTGTGAAAATTTAACACGAGAAATCCATTTCTGAAAAAATAATATTTGAAACTATAGTGGGTGCGCATCACAACCTTCCCGGAATCAAATTTTTTTTTAATTTCTGTTCTCGGGAACAGAAATGGATAGAAAACTCGTTTGGTAAAACCGAATTATTTTTTTGTTCTCGAGATAAACCGGATTAAATTTTGTGCTGGAAAACAGAAAAAAGAATCAGAAAATTTCTGCTCTTTTACTCCTAGGTACAAAATGAGAAACACTTTTCTCTCTTAATCACTCTCCATCTCTACCATCATCACCATCACCATCACCACCACCATCCCAACACGACCACCGCCACCATCATCGTCGCCGTCGTCGTACCACTAGTGCTGTCGTGACCACCCCTCACTACCACGATGTCACAGCCACCATCACCACCACCTCCACCCATCACTACCACCATGCCACCATCACCACCACAACTACCACCGCTGCAACCACCACCACCACCACTATCACTGTCACCGTCACCACCATCATCACCACCACCACCATCATTGCAACCACTGCCGCCATCGGCACCACTACCACCACCACAACGGCATCGCTACTATCACCGCCACCATCACCACCAACACAACCACCACCACCACCACCACCACCACCATCACCATCACCACCACCACTACCACCACCACAACGGCACCGCTACCATCACCACCACTGTCACCAACCACCACTATCATTGTTGCAGCCACCACCAACACCGCCGCTACTACCAACCACCACCACAATCGTCACAGCCACTACCGTCACCATCGCCACCATTACACCACCACCACCACCATTGTGACCTACCACCACCGCCACCTCTACAACCACTGCCACCACCACCACCACCACCTCCATAATGCCATCACAACCACCACCACCAAGCCACCGCTACCATTGTCGCCGCCACCAACCACCATCCCACCACCATTGTCGCAGCTACTGTCGTCACCTCCACCACCACCATCCTCACCACTATCTCCGATGTCACCACCGCTGTCGCCACCATTACCACCGCCACTGTCGTCACAACCACTACCATTATCATCACCACGTCACTGCCGCCACCCCCCGCCACCGCCACAACCACACCATATGGAAAGGAAAGTGATGATCCGAAATTTTTTTATATTTAATATGAATTATTTTTTATTATATTATTTGTCATGTTATCAACGCAATTCTCATTCTCGGAATAAAAATAGAACATGTTATCAAACACATTTTTTTTCTCAGAAACTGTTCCAAGGAACAGAAATAGAAAAGTATTATTTCTTTTCAGAAACAGTGCTAAGGAATAGAATGGTTGTCATGCACTATGTAGCACCGATACTGACATGGGACACAAAACACGATACTCCGACACATTAATTCTAAAAAATATTATATTTCGACATGTTAGGACACGTTTTGATATTGAATAATATTTTTAATTTATGTTGCGTGTATTATATATAATATTCAATAATTTAACAAAAAAAATAAAGCTAAACCTATAATATCCATTAATTTTGCAAAGAAACATAAGATATCACAAATATTTATATTAAATTCAATAAAATGGTAATAGTAATCCAACGAATCAAATAGTTAGAACTAAAAACGCAATGTAACGCAACCTTTGAAACTTTTTTTGAGTTTCTACAACGGGCGTTGAAGTGTTGGGGAGTGTCGGAGTATCGGAGAGTGTCGGGTAGTGTCGAACACAACACGTCGAGGTTTTTGAAGTGTCGGTGCTTCATAGGTCATGCACACCCTAAAATTACATACTATTTTATTATAAAAAATTACATGTTATTTGTTAATGTTTTTTTTTTAACTTTCCTAAGATTTTAATTTCTATCAAATTATTCGTCAAAAGTCATTACTGAAAATCATTTTCAATTAGTTTTTTTAATCTACTTGAAATTTTATCTGCCAAATTTTTTTTATATTCAATCCATTGTTTTAGACACGTAGCTACAAATTAAAAAGAAAAAAAAAATAAACTAATAAACCAATATACGAATGAAACTAGGAGTGTTCATTAATCGATCCAAACCGATTCAAACCGTGGTAACCGAACTGAAAAATCGATAACCGAATAAATCGAAAACCAAAAAATCGAAAACCGAAAAAAAAATCACAAATTTTAATTGAATTGGATCAGTTTTCGGATTGGTTGATGAAAATCGATCCAATCCAAACTGATCCAATATATTAATTTCTTTCTACCTACTTGGGCTTTTCTCCAATCATAGGCCAAAAATTTCTAAACCTAAGACCTATCAACCCATCAACTAAACCCAAGAAAAAACTTAGTCACATCTCATCGACAAAATTTCATCTGTGTAGAGCTTCATATCTCATTACCCAAAAATAAATAAATTACATTATCGTTTATTGATGCTTTTGTATTTCAAAAAAAAAAAATACAAAGCCAATATATACAAAGGGTTCGTTTTTTCTGCAGATAAGTTATCTGCAGTAAGCCCATTATGACGTCGTTTTGGAGTGAAAATCATGGTGTTTTTGTAATTTTAATTTATTTCAGGGTTATAATAGTCTTTATATTTATAATTTTTTAAAATTTCAATACCAAAACGACATCATTTATGGAATAAATGCATATAACTTATCTGCATTAACTGCAGAAACATTTTTCCCATATACAAATGATGGTATTTGCACAATAATTATGAAACAAATTTTAAGATTTTCAAAAAATCGAAAACCGATCCAGTCCAGACCGAAAAAAATTAGATTGGATTGGATCGGATCGGATCGGATTTGAAAAAAATTCAAACCGGAGAGATTAGATCGGATGATTTTTGCTTCTAAAACTGATCAAATCCAGACCGCGAACACCCCTAGATGCAATTATATATCAACATTAGAATTGTGAATAACTAAGTCCAATTCCCTGTATCAAAAGAAAGGAACCGATACACTTACCACTAGAAAAGTTTACTACTCTTACAACTAATTTAATCACCGTTGATTTCCGTCAATCTTATGGTTATAATTTATTGAGAATTAATAATATTTGTTGGGTCATACTTATTAATTAATTATTAATTCTCAATAAATTATAACTATTAGATTGACGGAAATCAAGAGTGATTAAATTGATTGTAAGAATGATAAATTTTTCTGGTGGTAAGTGTATCGATTTTTTGATAGTAAGTATATTCATCCCTCGCAAGAAAAGGTAAAAAAGTTTGGCAGGTTGCCTGACTTTCAAACGTAACGGTAAATAAAATTTATTTTTTTCGTTTGATTTCTAAACGCTTGAGGTTCCATGGGTAGAATTATTTGTGACAAATGTTATATCCTCTTAATAAAAAAATTTAGTTATTTTAAATAATAATATTAAATAATAAAGTAATTATTTGATTTTGTACTTAATTAAGAATTACTATATAAACAGATTCATTTGATTTTGTTAAAAAAATTTTCCAGAACTATGGTGACTTTAATGTATTAATAAATAGGCACACGGACGTTTACCAAAATAAAAAATAAAAAAAAATAGGCACACGGACAATGTTACTTAAAAAAATAATTTACTCACCCACGTTGTATACACTGTAATTGGCAGATTTCCAATGGGCTGTATGGTCCGATAAAGGGTCAAGCAGCCCAAATAAAATAACCCATAATTCAAGCTAGAAACTAACGGCTACTTCCTTTTCAGTCCGCCAACGGTCATATTCACCCAACTCCTTTATAAACCCTAAAGTTTTGACCTAATCCCGTATATTCTTGAATCTTTCTCTCTCTCTCTCTCTCTCTCTCTGAGTACAAATCAATAATTCATCTAAAGCATTCAACTTTTAGTGTTGGGGTGATCTTGAATCGGTTTCAATGGAGACCCCATCATCCTCCACAAGAAGAGTCACAAGATCACTGAACTTGAATGCTTCCAATAACGGCACCATCAACAGCAGTAGTAATCACATTCCAGTTAGATTCCCATTTTCTTCCTCAAAAAATGTAGCAAACAAATTTCACTCATCTTTTTCCCTTTTCTTTTTCAGGAAAGATTGAAGATTCCGAAAAGAATAATTCAAAATCAAAGGGGCAACAGCAAGATCGATCTGCACTAATTGACATAACAAATGATTCCCCAATAATAGGGGTTGCCAATGGAGGCAATATAGAGACCCCATTGGCGAAGCAGAGAGGAAGCAGAGTGAAGAACACGCCAGGGTCTGGTGAGGCCTTGCTGAGGGATCAGGTGAAGACCCTCTTGCAGTTGCAGAAGGTGGAAGAAGAGATTTTTGCCCCAACGCCAGCAATTATTCCCCAAATTCAGAATCTTTCTAGTGGTGGCACCACTGGTTTGGCTTCAGTGATCCCTTTAAATTCTCAGGTTGGTAGAGTCCTGGTTAAATTGATCAGATTTTGATTAGACTAAATAAAATCTCAAATTCATGATCCTATGATTAATCATATGTGGTAATAAATTGATTTGTTTTGATGGCAGGTATTGAATCACATGTTTGATGGAAAGAACCAAGAGAATTCTGAATCGGAAGAGAGCCTGATAACCAGGTCTCTCCTTCTGGATTTTTCAGAAAAATCTCGAGCTTCCGATGCATCAGAAGAATGCTCCTCTGAGCTGAGTTATCAGGAAGTAGTACAAGGAAGCGAAGTTAGTAGCTGCTACATAGAGAAGCTCTCGGCCAATACAGAAGATGATGATGCTTCTGTCTGGTCAATGCAGGTCAATGCTAGCACCCATGATGAATATGATGATGAGGAGGATGAGGAAATAGCTGAAGATGAACAAGATTATTATGAGGATGTTGAAGAAGAACATGATGATGGAGGGTTGGTGCTTGATGAACTGTGTAAAGGCTTGAACAACATTAGCATGAGTCAAAGGATAGCTCCCAAGTTTGCAGGAAAGCACAAGAGATTTGTTTACAATAGTGATGATGAGCTTGTCAATGAAGAAGAAGAAAACTATGCTGAGAGTGTTTCTGCTTCTTCGCCTAATATCTTGCGCTTGAAGGGGTTGCCAACCCCAAAAGGGAAACACATACGTTTTTCTGAAGAGAAGGAAGAAAAATCTGATTTGTGAGACACATGAAGATGTACTTGATTGGTGTTCTGTTCCTTTTTGACACCACTTATTTTGGCTGCTTGTTTCTTCTGATCTGGATGGGAGGAGTTCCCTGGATTCTTTAGGCTTTATTTGTGAATGGAAAGCTAACAGTGACTACAATTCATGGTGGGGTCTATTGCTCATTTTCTCCAATAAAACTGTTTTTGATTTTTATGTTGTGTTAAATTAGCTCAATTTAAAATTTATTCAGAGAATTTCAAAAATTAATTCAAGAATGAATATATATTTCAATTGAAAGATGGTTTTCTGAAAGAAAGAAAAATCTAAAAGAAAACCAAAAAATGCAGAAAGTAAAAAATGGAAAATTTGACATAGACTGAAAATTAAGATCAAGAAGCAATGCATTAAAATGGAATTTTAGACAAGGTTTTATTTGATTCAACAGGCAACAGGAAGTAAATCTCATTTTCCTTCTTCTATAAAATCACAAACGCATAACACAGCAGGGGATTTTTTGGGGCTGATGGTCTAAGAAAAAAAAGAAAGACAGAAAATAATACAAAAAAATAGAGAAAGAGAGAGAGGTAGAGAAATTCCAAGCTTCTCTGCATCCAAACACTGTAAAACTCAAAAGTCCAACAAAACCCAATACAAAAAGAGAGAGTGTTGACACAGACCAAAGTACCACCTTCTCGCCACCATACTGTGAACCTCAACCGCCGGTTCTGATCTCGGCTCACCACTGCACACACCCGAGAGCATCACTGTCAGGCCACCACATGCAGACACCATCAAACTGAGCTAGCTTGTTTGCGAGGCTGCCTGCCACTGCGAAAGGCGTGTAAAATTTGTTGGCCACCGTTCCAAACCACTACTGCACACGCCGGAACACATCCATGAGTGTGCTGCCTCCACCGTGTTACAGGCTCATCTACATTAGCTATGTTCCTGTTGTGCTTCAATTCCTATGCTTTTTATTTTTTGTTTTACATCTACGATGGTAGTTGATAGGCTTAGACTTTTAGGTTTTTTTTTTTAATACAAAGACAACAAAAAATCAAGGTCATGAATGTCTATGTAAAAGTAAAAGAATAGGTACGATACTTGACGTCTTATGTCAATTAGTTTGATTTTTGTTTATATCGTTTTATGTATTTTCGTTATTCATTTGTGAAATTTGATTGAATATTTATTAAGAATTTTTTAAAATTATAAAAAAATCCAAAAATGAAAATAATTTGTATTCTGTCTGTTACGGTTTGCTTATTTACCCTTATAATATTTTTTTACTAGTGTGGTCAAATATTTACCAAAATATAAACAAAGTATAAATGACAAGTAATTTTGTTTTAATTCACGCAATGATTTATAACGTTGATGTATAGTGATCCATCCTCAAGGGATAATTTACCTGTAATAGTTTGTTAATCTTCTAATCTTTTGAATCATTTTAGGCGTGACGGCTTGGTGATTCAAAATTTATTGTAAAATTTATAATAAAAAATAATAAGTGATTCAAAATTTATTGTAAAATTTATAATAAAAAATAATAACGTCAAATTTATTTTTAAAAAAATTAACTAAGTTGAGACAGTTTGTTCATCCCGCATTCTTTTGAATCATTTTAGCCGTGACGGCTTGGTAATTCAAAATTTATTGTAAAAATTACAATAATAAAAATAAAAATATTGAAATAAATATAAATCATCAAAGCCAAAACTTTCCAATGATTTTCTTATTGATATTAGGTTTAATTTTTCCATTTTTGAGTAATCACCTACACAAAGGATGCCTCCAAGCCCAAGGGAGAGAGAGGAAGTGAGGAGAAAGAAAAAAAAAAAAAATTTATATCACAAAATCGAACGATATTAAGAGAGGTAGGCAAAGGTAAGTAATATAAGGGTAGGTAGAATAACCTAAAGTTGATAAGAACTTTTATAAAAACTCCTATGAACTTTTGACAAAGAAATTTTTCTCAAAATCTATTTGTCACTTCTACTTTAAGCAAAAGAGAGAAATTAAAAATAAGAGGATTAAAACAAACACTAAGTAATGCACAAGTAAGAAACCAGATAGGACCTTTATTTATCAAGATTTATTAGGATCCTTAGATTGCAAGCAAAAGTGACCCGAAAATTTTAGTACTAGAAAATTGTTGATTAACAGCAATAATTCCGTGGTAAGACGACGCAGTAGATATGAAAGACAAGACATTTGAGTTTGAAAAACCTAGCTCAGACGGAAATGCTTGGTAGTAGAGAGTATATTTTATTTTTCAACATTTTATTCTGTGGGACAAAAAGTTCTCTCTTAATTATCAAAAGACAAATATTTTATCAAATGATGATAGTTCAGTTGACGCATTAAAATTAAGCAGGTAAGGAAAAAATATATATATCAATCCTCTCCAATACCATTTTTGAAAAATGTTTAAAATTTAAATTCTGCACCTTCCCCGAATAGGATTGTCTCATGAAAAATACATGTGATTTATCCAACAAAACAAAAAGGACAAATATTTACATTTTTATTCCGTACTCTTACTATTCCCTTTATTTAAAATAAAAAACAAAGAATTTTATCCTGTTCACTCTCTTTAGCAATTCAAGTGCACAAGATGTCTTCAACTCAAGATTTCCACATTTATAAATATTGTACGAGTAAAACCCAGTTCATTTTTACGAAGCAATATGGCTACCGGATCAAGCTCCTGTAATTACTTTTCTACAGTGGATACCGTTCTACTCTACAGAAGAGAAAAAAGAAAAAAACCTAAACTATTTACAACTGAATTTCAAAATAGTTAGTAACATTGCTCAATTCAGCTGGAATATGTACACACATTTACAGTACTGCTAGAGATACCCATGAAAAGACTGCAATTGGACCTTAGAACCAGGGATGCCATGTTGGGTCCATCATGCACAAGTTCCTTGGGTTTAAGGCAGCTTCAACCAACTCAGTAACACCCCTCTGCACGGATTGGGGTGGATCCATGACATTCTCCTCCTATATAAACACAAACGTAAAAGCTAGAGATTAAAATAGCAGCATAAAATACACCAAATTGAGAGAAATTGGTGATTCAGCCAATAGATAAACATTCTCCAAAAGCATTAAATCTACCATGTGAATTGTGCTAGAACTTCAAATCTAATCATAAGTATGAACTGGCAAACTGGTGATCAATAAGGGAATGAAGCACAGAGCAAATACCTATGCACAAGACTCCCCAAATATGCGGATATGGGGTGAGGATCAATTGAACACAATCTTACTTTTGTATTTTTACAAAGAAAATGTTTTCCATATTCAAACATGTGACCTTCGGATCACAAAAGAGCAACCTTACTACTGATGCAAGGCTTGCCCTCCAAATAAGGGAATGAGAAATCAGGAAAACGAGTGATGTCAATAGGAAAAATGAAAGTGCAAAAGCCCTCATCCATTTCTCCCCTTTCGTTATTTTAGCAATTATTACAAACATAAATAGACTAATCCAGAGGATCAAAATGGATCCCTTTCATTTTTGGTAGAATAAGGCATAAAATATTTTTACGAATTTGTTATATAACCATTTATCTCTGTTCCATCTATCCAGCAACTAAAAAGGAAACCTGATCTTAGAATTTCCAATTAAATTAGATCAAAAGATAACAATTTGAGAAAACTGAACAGTGAACACAATTTTGTTCTGTTGCTCACCTCTTCAGAAAAATTCTGAGGGGCTATTCCCTTAACCCTTGCAATAACATGTTCCACATTTGTGACAACCTTCTGTTTGAAGTCAACGGGGCTCATAGTACCACCCGCAGCAGGGGCCATGGGCATCCCAAGGGGTCTTGGTCTCCAAGACCAAGATAGTAGCTCATCACGGAAAAACATTGCTAGATGATGCCATAGATGCTGACTTTGCTGCAATACAGCAATTTAACAACGAATCAGTTGACAGCCTTACATTGCATGAATTACAATTAGAACATCAAAATATTGTAAAACATTTCGGTTGATAAACGCGCTCGCACGCGTGTGTGTGTATATAGTTCTCACTTTAGGTGAAGCCACAGCCTGTGCTGCTGCACACATTGAAGATACAATAAGGCCTTCCACTCCATGGGAGAAGAACGCTTGCATATTCCTTGTTAGCCTGAAAGGGACTGGCTCATTAAACTCTATTAGTCCATTTGCATCATATGCAGGATGAAAATCAGTTTGAAATATTTTTCCTGTGTTCTTTGCAAACAGAATCTTGTTCGGAGACCTCCCCCCAATTTGTAGCATAAAGGACATGAAACTTGAAAGGGCCAACTGGATGGCAAATTGCTTTTTAAAAGCCCACATATGGTTGCCACTTGGTAGAGTCTTGTACATATACTGTGAAAAGATGTTGTCAGTAACAAGATTTTTTGTTATTTCATTATAGGCTTGCAGACGGAGATCAACAACAGCTTCTGGAGATATTTGCCCGGATATAGCCTGGTTCAACTGCTCCTTGAAATAGGTGATGGGAAGATCAGCCTCACGGTCATTCCTAGCACAATGATTCTCATAGACCTCAAGGAAAGTACTATACATCAAATCATCTTCTACCATGCGAACCTGTCCATACAAAATTTCAAGCAGGGATTAGTGGATACTTTTAAGTAGGTAAAGGGTTTCATTTGCAGTATTGGTTGTCCTGATTCCATTTTCAAGAAACAGTGATGTATGCAAGGAAAGTCATTTTAACCTGGGACCAAACAGGAATAATTATTGGTGTGTGAATGCATATGTGACGGCGTCTCGATTCCTTGTGCTTCTCAAACATTTGGTTCATCACACGGAAAAGCTGTAATATGCGCTCATCACTTCTCGCGTTGGGTGTCAAAGACGTCTGCACAATAAAATGGCGTTGGGAACCGTCAGAGCCAATTAAAGTCAAACGCCGAAAACTGCTCCCATGCCTCCGTACAATTGGAATATCAGCTGCAACCCTATCCAACTTCACAGTATGATCTGGTGTAATTTCCTGGAAC